TATTTTGTGAAAAGTGTACTTTTTTCTTCTTTTTTTCTCTTCACTTTTCTAGCAAATTGAAAGAATTTTCGTACATGCCAAAACTGAAAAGCAAAAAAAAGTCTTAACTTTTTTGGCCAAAATCCCTAGCAAATTGAAAGAATTCTTTGGAAGTTTTGAAGGGGTAACACTTCGTCAGTGGGGGGTAATCGGACCCCTCGGACCCCTGCTGAGGACGTATGACATGGAAAAAATTTAAGGGGGTGTAAACGAGATTCTTTCATTTTTTTGAAGATCACTTTTTTGCGCAACTCCCCAGCAAATCGAAAGAATTTTTTGTGAAAAACCCTAACAATTTCAAAGATTTCTTTTATTTCTGGTCTTTAAACATAAATTTGCAAAATTATCAGACACTTCTTTATTTTCTTTATTACAATAATTCATTTTTGTGATTTTTGGAAAATATTTTGTGGATTGTTACTATCAAAGTAAAGAAATGTGAACGAAACTTCGATGAAAATAGCATTTTCCAGCTGAAATTTACTTCTTATTTGCCATTTTTGTCTTTGGATCAGTTGGGGTGGCTTTTTTAATTTCTCGTTCAAATAGTGCTAATTTTTGTTTAAGACTAAGCGAAGATGAGTCTTTTTGTACTGGCGCAGCATTTTCTTTTATTTTCTGTTCAAAATTGTTGGTCAACGATTTGACCGAAGGACCTCTAACATGTTCTGTCACTCCTGCATCGACGATTCCAATGGCCTAGTGTAAAGGATGGAAACAAAAATATAACATTTAATTTATGATCATTTTGTACCTCTACTGAAAAATATACACTTCGCACTTCAACTGAAATCAGTTACCTGAGAAACCAAGAATGAAATCAGAAGTAAAGAGAAAAACTTGCTTTGCATTATTTTATTTATTCTTCAACCGAGTTGTAGTTAACAGCCTATACTGATAACTTTCCATTGCATGAGTACGGTTTATATACAGTTCTCTTCAAGCAAAAAACGGATTCATTATAGAAAATTCAACTCATTTTATAAACCAATCGATTCTGAATAATAATCGATGCATCATAAATTATTTTAAAATACAATTTATTACAAGACTTAGGATTAAAAGAGTTATCGCGTACCTTTCGACCCTTTCGTGTTCCTATCACAGCGTGTATCATTACATTGATCAATAGAAATTCAACTGAGTCTCTGCCATTGATAAAAGTTCAATTGATTCATGTAGTGGACAAAAGTTTTCTCTACTTTTCATCATTTTGATCTTGGAAGATGATTCTTATACGGAATTTTTTTTAGGTTCTTTGATGAGGTTAGATAGATAGATAGATAGATAGAATGAATGCCAGAAAAAACAAAGAAACGTCGCCCAAACATGTTTTGCTCCCAAAATTAATTTGCAGCCGAGAGGTTTTTTGAGTAACCTTTCTGACAAAAATTTAAATTAATTCACAGAGCGCTTATTACACTTTTAATGAGTAGGAGAAGATGGGGTAACCAATGAATGGACAAACGAATCACTTCAGTTCTAGCATATGTGACTCATAGTCACCCACTCCAGTTTGATCGTTAATACCTAAAGAATAAAGATCTCTTTTATGAACAATTGTGACTCACTTGGTCCCGCCTCTCCCTAAATTAAGTTCTAGAAAAAAGTGTGAAATAATTAAATGTATCTACGCAATACGAGCTTGAAAGATGAACAGATGCAGCTGTTTCATAAATAAACTTGAAATTTTACAAAGATGATGAGATAAAATGTGATCTAATTCTCCGAATGAAAATGTGTTTTGTAAAATTTGAATTTCTAATATGCCCAAGCTACCACAACCAAACCATGCATATAAACCGTAGACAATTGACGTAATTTCTCAGTCAACTGTTACTTTTTAGATGAATTTTCAGCTATCGTTGAAAGGTGTCTGAATATAAAAAAATGTTCGATCGAAAGATGTTTATTGCATTATTTTTCACCGGCTTCGTATTTTGTGACGTAAATTTTGATGCTTTTTTATACAAAAATCTACTTAAAGTTTAATATCTATTGCGATTTTCATTAAAACAGCTCTTGATTCCAACTGTTGTTGGATTACCCGAGGGTGATCTTGAGTTACCTCATATTTCCTCCATAAAAGCCCGTCTTGCTGAATCTTTTCACAAGCCATTGACGTCATCAACTCGAGAAAATATCAACAAATTGAATAAATTCGACAATCCCTATAGAAAAGCATTTGTCGATTCTTTACCCATTCAACCTCAGGCCGTGACACCAAATGAGGATGACACACCTTCATTATCCGACTCTCAACCAAACATAACTGAAACTGATCTCGATGAATCACGACCTGAATTTGACAAGAGTTCGTACGATGCTATTTTAACGTCATTGAAGGCAGAAATGCCAAAAATCGCCACTCGGAACAGAAATGTTAAGCCAAAAGGCACCAAAGTTCTACCAACTGCATCCCGAACAGATGAAGATAAAAACATGACGGTCAGAGATAGAGTGAAGAAAATTGAAAATCGCAATAAACCTATGGGGCGGGTACAAGTCAAGGATCAAAACAAACTCAAAACAATCCCAACAGAAACTGATCCATCTGAGTATCCAGTTCAGAAGAAAATTAATTTATATGAAGAAAAGATTACAAATAATATGAAAAAATCTGAGCAATTTTGCAAATAAAGAATGACATTTTTGACAATTTTTCAACATAGCTCTTCTTTTTTTTCAATATGGCTCGGTGAACATTAAGCACTACTGTTAATACACTCTGGCACAATATATTTTTAAACTTAAAATCGTCGTTGAGTGAAAAACGAATGGTGATGACATCGATGAATAATTTAATATTCATTCCAAAACCTCCAAATTTCTATACATTATTATTCCTCATTTCTTCTGATGCAAATTTATGCTGATTCTTGCATATTAAGGCTAGCAATTGATCTGCGTCATAACGCGACCCAATTTTCAGGCTGAATTTTAAATAATCCTTTTTTAACTAGTCAATCGTATATAAACCAACGCAATACGCTGGATTTTCATCAATCCAAACAAATTTTTAATCAGTACGGTTTCCTTGGGCAGAAAAATGTTGAGTCGAACATTTATCGCATTGTTTGTAGTTGGCTTTCTATTTTGTGAGGTGAATTCCATTTTCAACTGCATATTTTATTGAAAAATTTATTCATTTTTCATTATTTTCGTAGGTCGTCAGTGGTGCAGTACCTTTTGGAAAGGTTATCCAAAAAAATGAAAAAAAAAAACTGAAAATATTTATTATAATTTCAAAATTTGTATTTA